GCACGCTATAGGCCTACTTAAACTGCACATGGAAACATGGTACATGTAGCCCACGATTCAGTCCAAGATTCCGGTCTTGATACTGAATCCTACGCTGATCGCCTTATTATATGAAAAGTCTGTTCCCTCATTGCAAGTAAACTCTTCAATGTCTTGTACTCCAAATCTCACAATTATTTTGACCATATAAGAGTAAGATTTTAGGTTTATACATCTTAGATATTAATGTGTAATATTTTACATTTTCTACACGTCATCAAAACTCATTTAAGGCATTCTGGGGCGGGGCCACATCGACACCAGCTTACACGTAGCTTTGTGTGTGCTTCATGCATGCCTGCTGTGCCTTTCTCCCCATGACGTCATCAACTCAACGTATTAAATTTGACTTCACGTTTTTCCGAAATCGGCCCAGTTAGTTTTGAAATGAAATCGCCTCTTATTTCTCTCACGTTTATTTTCAGGAAATAAATTCACTGTATACTTGTTTCTCTGTGGCCAATCTACCTCCCACACCCTAGATGTCGAAGTAGTTGAAGCCTTTTTAATACCACTTTATTAAGGAGCTTGGCGTTTATTAAACTTCTTGCTCTGTTTTTAAACCATTTAGAAAACAATGTCAAATGCTATTTTGTTCAGTACTTTTGATGGAACTGCACAGAAGATATGTGATTATGAGAAGTGTAAACTGTCAGATATGCAGTGAGGACATTTGTGATTTTTTTTTTCGATTAGCCAATGTTTGCTATTGACGCGTAGCAGATCATCTGATAGAACCATTTAGGTTACATGTATTTGCAAAATATATGAAAGGTTTCTACCTTGACGTTTCTGGCTGAGCACGACCCACGGCATGAAATACGTCTGCACGGTTTTGAAAGTCCACTATTTTGGTATTAGTGATTAATGAATAACAATTAATTTTACCTGAGTTTTATGTATCACGTGCAGAATATCGTTGGAAAGTCTACTTTTTAAATAAATCAAAGAACGAAATTCTGTATATGTTCTGTTGATATTGATCCTCATCGACGTTACCTGGAATATTTGTATAGGGCTCAGTTTTGTTTCTTATCATTAACACCAAACATCTGTATTACAGGAATAATGTAGATGATAGCCCTTGTTGAAAATCGTCAGAATATGTAACCATTAAAAAGAATATAATTAGTAGAACAGAGTTTTTTAGTTATCAAGCTCAATTTAAATTAAATGTAACGCTACACTTGGGCATTTTGATGAAAACTGTCAATCATGTTAAACTTTTTTAACAACAATCCTTAACAAAATGTGCTCTCCAAGATGCACGTGCCTGAATAATTTCTGGAAAAGTGGCTTTTCTGAAGATATTAGACAAAATGGCGCAAAGGACCCTTGTGCAGGTAGGCCTACAGTATACCACCTGCGACTGTTGTATGCAATTTGTTCGTAGGAGTTAAGTACGTACACCGTATGGCGCTGGACTACGCATGCGTTTTAACAGGTCGAAAAGTTATTTGGAGCCCATTAAATTTACGAGCACCTATACACAATAGCGGCTCTTAGCTAAAAGCAACACCATATTTAACCTGTTGAGGTTAAACAATTACTGCATTTATGGACACTTTTTATTGATTTGATTTATCTCAAATAAAAAAAAATATCAGAGAGAAAGTATTATCAAATTATTTTTCACATTCGATGTTTCTTTGGCTACAATCCGGTTGTAAGTGTGACGTCACTTCAGTTTAATCCACGCCCACCGCGCATGTACTGCGCGCCCGCCTTTGTGACGCAGTCACTTAATACGAACCGGATATTCACTTCTGCACAGCTGGCAGATTGTATAAACTCGTTTGATGAACAAAATGAACTTACGAAGAAACAAGATGAC